CAAACTGTTGAAAATGGCTCATCAAAGTCGCTTCAACAGAGGCAGCCTCCTGGACACTGGGATTTCTGTCGTGTATGAGCCCACAGAGTGTAAACCGGTTGTGGAGTAAGCATTACCAAGACACTACAGTTCGCTGATGCTGCAGCAACTAACTTTCATTTCTAATAGCATCGTCATTGTTCATGGACTTCAGGGCCATCCATACAAGACGTGGACGTTTTCTGGAGCTGCAAACCTTCCTGAGTCAGATGCTTCTTCTGAGCGGAGTGAAACGCCAAAAAAGAAACTAAAGCTTGCCCATCGCAACTTTCGTGGGTTGTTCTCCAGATCCTTAGATCTAGGAAAAGCCGCAGAGACTTCTGAATCTGGATCCAGTGGCGGTCAGAATCATGTCTTCTGGCCTGCGGATCTTCTTCCGAGGGAGTGCCCGAACTCGCGCATTCTGGTCTTCGGGTACGACAGCATGGTGACAAAATACATGGCTAGCTCGACGAACAAGAACAGCATTGTTTCCCACAGCAAGGACCTTCTGTTTGCGCTTCAGCGAGAAACAGTTGCCGACCGGCCTCTGATATTCGTTGCTCACAGCCTGGGCGGCATCGTCGTCAAGGAGATGTTATCGAGGTCGTCAATGTCAGTCGAACCTCAACTGAGAAACATCGTCGAGTCGACAGCGGCTGTCCTATTTCTTGGGACCCCTCATCGCGGAAGCCAGGATCTGGCTGCCATGGGCGAGTGGTTCCGTTCCATCATCAGCGCTCTGCGCATCGAAACAACACCGGCGATCCTCAATGCCCTGGGCCTCAAGACCACGGACTTGGAACGAGCACAAGAAGCTTTCTCGCAGATATGGCACAAGTACGGATTTCAGGTCAAGACCTTTCAGGAGGGCTTGGGGCTTACAGGTGTCAACCTCGGCGTCTTGGGGAATAAGGTCGTCCCAGATCACAGTTCCCTGATTGGTGACTATCGAGAACGAGCAGAAACGCTCCAGGCCAATCATATGGATATGTGTCGATTCAGTGGCGCCAACGATCCCAACTATCGCAAGGTTGCCGGGGAGATTCGTTCCATATATGGGGGCATTGTTGAGGGAAGAGAACTAGGGTGTCAACACGCCGATGCGCCCCTACATGTTGAGTCTTTTCCTGTCAATGAGGATGAAGCAGCCTTCTTACGAACGCTATGGTTCCCTGCCGCAAACACTCGCTTTCGAGCACATGGAACCCCAATAGGCGGCACTTGCAGCTGGTTATTCGACCATCCAACATTTCAAAGCTGGGTGAGTGGGAAACATATCAACTATCACAAGGGTCTTCTCTTGTTGAAAGGCCAGCCGGGAGCCGGGAAGTCAACTCTGATGGGGGAGGCTTTCCGCAAGGCGATTGAAACACAGAATCAGACGGGTGGAAACCACTTGGCCGCAGGATTCTTCTTCAATGCCAAGGGAGATGAGCTCGAGCGATCGGCAGTTGGCCTTTTCAGGTCTCTCCTTTGCCAACTACTGCCGCATCATAGGGAAGATCTCAAGCAGCGGACCAGCAACTTCTGGAAGGATGTGCGCCTGGGCCTCTCTTCCGAGAACTCATGGACTTGGCTTGAGCCTGAGCTGAAATCCATGTTCCAAGAAATTGTGTTGAGGCGGCCAGCCCACTCTGGAAAGCTGGTTATTTTTATTGACGGGCTTGACGAGTGTTTTGCGCAGAGCATTCGTGGTTTAGCCATGTTCTGGCGGGAGATCACAATGAAAGCTTACAGCCGAGGAATTAGGCTGCACGTCTGCATTTCCAGTAGGCACTATCCCTTAATCACTTTAAGCGAGTGTTTACAGGTTGTGGTCGAGCGTCATAACCAACATGATATTGAGACATATGTAAATCACCGATTCACGCTGGTCGCCCCAGCCAACGACAGCCAGTTGCGGAGTCTGAAACACGCGATTCTTTCCCGGTCCGGAGGAGTCTTTCTCTGGGTGGTACTCGCCATTGATGACATCCTTCAGTTGTGGGATGACGGGGAGGACATAGCTCACTTGCAGAGAAAAGTCGACCACATGCCGCAGCAACTCAGCGAGTTATATGCTTCGGTATTGTCATCAGCCACCGATCAGCAACGTTATCAAATGTTCCAACTCTTTCAATGGGCAACTCTGGCGGTGGCACCGCTTCGTCTTCACGAATGGCACCACATTTTAGGGTGGATTCAAATCCCAATGCCGGAATCCATTAAAGAATGGCGCGAGTCTAAGAGTTTCACGGCCGATGATGATCAGCTCGAGAGGAAGATACGGAGCATTTCCAAGGGGCTTGTCGAGGTGAAGACGACCCGAGCGGGAGAATCTCACGAAAATGATATTGTCGACAAACTGTCAATATGCGCCGGGGCAGGATCCCTGAATCTCGAAGCCGGAGAAACTAGGATCGTGCAGGTCATCCACGAAACGGTGCTTGACTTCTTTCTGCGAGGCCGCGGGTTCGCCATTCTCAACCCTACGCTCGAGGTTAAACCAGTCGGTCAAGGCCATCTCTCTATCATGTCAGTGTGTTTGAACTATCTGTGGATCAAAGAACTAGATGAACTCGTTCTTGCTCGCCTCCAGTTCGGGGTCGATCAGACTGTGAAAAAGGAGAAACCCAGCAAGCACGCCCCAATATCAGAAACACTTGGCGAAAGAGAGACATCGTTAATTTCATCCCAGACTACCGACCGTATGGAGAGCTCCACGCCGGCCAACGACGCATCGTTGGAAACCCTCCATAAAAAATTGGCAGAAGTTGGACAGGGAATAAACCTCGAAACCTGGCTGGCATTAACCAAACCTGTTGCAACTCAAGCCGTTGCCGAAGATGAAGTCTCTCTCGGCCTCTCATCACGCGCGTCCATCCGCCGGTCCCAAGTACTGGAAGACTATCCTGCGCTACTATCATATGCTCTCCATAGCATGTTCATACATGCCAAGCTAGCCCAAGACGACGGAGCATATTCCACCCCATTGGTCCAACGCTTTCAGGACGGGGGCTGGACTCGCTGGAGGCTTCTAAGAGAGGATATAGATCCTCAATGCTCTCTCCCGGTCTACGCCTCCGCCAACGGTCTTCACACCTGGATCACGGTTGGCGAGAAATTAAGAAAGGCGGCAGCGGACAGTCTACATATAGGATTGAAGGATAGTTACTGCAACCCAGATTATGATGAGCACGGACCGGAGGGCAACGACCATACTCATACCAATTCAGATTTGTATGATAGACTCCCAGCTACCAACATTAGTAAGTCGCAAGACAGGTACGAGGGTTACCGTGGTAGGCTTCCAAGGAAAGGGAGCGTCGCGAGTTTTAGTTCGGCCAGTAGTCACGGGTAGGGTTTTGTTTGTGACATAGTTTGATCAAGGGTATTATCATGTTATTTACGTCGACAGACCTCTGCCGCTCAGAACTGAGCCTGGAAAGAGAAAGGAATCAATCCGCCGAATACGCGATTTCGTACAAAGATACCTATATAGTGACAGATTATACGTGAGCAATATGAACCGGGCTTTTACATCTTGGACAATAATTTGGAATGTTTTTTTGAACTTGATCTTCAACACGCAAAATCTCGGAGCTCGGAGCTCTCGGGAGGCGCACAATCATGAGCCCACTGAATACGCGGGCAGAGATAGACGAATACGCGCCAAGCGTATTCGCAAAGATGAAGTACATACAATCGTCAGCGTCAATATCGAGTATATAAATCCAGCTGCTGGCCAACTTAAATGCAAAGTTCGCATCAACAATATAACAAGTTAAATACATACCTTACTCCGTTCTAACTTCCACGAGACAGCCATGATCTCCAACGCCATCGCCGCCGGCCTGTTGGCCCTGTCGTCCTTTGCCACCGCAGCTCCCCAAAAGCTCGCCGGCAGAGACTTGTCAGGTTTGAGCCGTACAGCACAGCTCTCTCTTGCCGACAACACGGTCGACAGGTACAACTCTCTCAAGGATGAAGAGTTCATCTTTGACTTTTTTGCTCCGAATGCCCCGCCCGTCGCCGATCGCAAGACTTTCCCTGCTTTAGTTGGTACTGGCGTTGCAGTGACCGTCGCCGAGGTCCCACGTGAGTTTTGTCTTTTTTCCTTCAATCTTCGATCTGTCAGCGACAGGAATTTATCTTTTTTGCTTACTTTTCAAATTTAATTATACACAGCCTGCGGAATGGCCTCGGTTCACATCCACCCCCGCGCCTCGGAAATCTTTGTCGTCACCGAGGGTCGCGTCCTCGCCGAGATGGTCACCGAGCTCGGCGTGAGCGATGCAGACGGGAACCCACGAGTCATCAGCACTGAGATCAAGAAGGGACAAATCACCGTTTTCCCCATGGGATCTCTCCACGGGCAGATGAACCCGGACTGCACCCCCGCCAGCCTCGTCGCGGGATTCAACTCGGAGGATCCCGGAACCGCCCTGGTTGCTCTGGATTTCTTTTACTTGGGTGACGACTTTGTCAAGAACTCGCTCGGGGACAGCATCGATGTTACCGAGATCAACAAAATTCGGAGCGCAATCTCAAAGACCTTTTTGTTCCAGGTTGAGGAGTGCAAGAAGAAGTGCGGTCTCTGAATCAAGTTGAATTACAGAATTCTGTAATAAGGAGGTTTAAATTCTTGTCAGGAGATTATCTTTTTTTTTCTTCTTTTTTTCTTTCTGATTTTAGTGTTTGTTTGTTTTTTCGTGGAGGAAACTTCTTATCACTCGCTCAAACGCCTTTTTTGTACTTGGCAAAACATGCCCCTTTTTGAGGCTCTATATACACAACCCCTCAGCCAACTACAACTCATCTTTTTAGATAGATTACATGAAAACCTTATATAAACCTCCACTGCCTCGTGTAAATACCGCCTAAAATTATCTCCTCCCAGGAGGTCAGGGGTAATGCAATATGGCATGAGTTGGATAATATAAGACACTTTTCGCGACTGCATCCCAGCAACACTACGACAGGTGCCCACACCTGTAAATTCTTCCGTAGTATAGTGGTTAGTATATGAGCTTGTCAAAAATTCCAAGTAAACAACGCTCGGGACCCGGGTTCAATTCCCGGCGGGAGAGAGACCATATTATATTTTTTTTTCGTTTTATTTTTAGTTGGTTTTATTCTCTCTGACTTGTTCTTCTTTCTCCTTGTTAACCCCAGTATCGAGCAACCTCAATTACAGGATAGTCACCTTGTTTCATTTCCTGTTATGCTCCGAACTTTCGTTGCATACTTTTCTCTATAATTTGGCCCGGCATGTGCAATAAATATTCTCATTCAAACCAGGAAATAGAACCAAGGCCAACTATAATATCTCAAAGCTTTGGAATTGTCATTGTTGTCCCAAGATGTCTTCTAGGCAAACCCAGGGCAGGCCACAGCAACGGCTCTCCACTTTAATAGAGGTGCCAAGGAACTTTCCGCTTAGAAACAACCACAGGGTGCTGCTCAGCTTCAACTTCTCCCAAGTCTTGATCTTTTTATCATGCCTTTGGGGGAAGGAAGGTTCAACTTCAGAGCCCCATTTCGTAGATTGAAACAAAATGAGCTCGGGTATAAGATGAAAAGGGGGTGTTTTACCCAAGATTATATGGGTCGAAAAAAAACCCTGCAACGAAGGCTGACTGGCTAACCAATACTCTCTTCTCTGTAGTGGATTTCGGGAAGTGAAAGAAGTGGTTTAGTTTAGATGGACTCCAAAAAAAGACCTAGGGAAAAAAGAAAAAAAAAAAGGGTGGCAAACCCTGCTGATATAATATTGTGGAATAACCGGGGAAAAAAAAGTAGTGTACAATGGCGAACGACGATCACGATGATAACGCGCAGCCAAGCCTCACCCTTACAAGAACCACACCCGATATGGATAGTCTCCTCCAAGAAACCCCCGGGGGAGCACAGACAACCCCTCAAGACCGCTATTGTATCCCCACTTTCCCATTACCTTGATACCTCCCCTGCAATGGCTCATCGGTTTCGACATCAAGGAACCAAGGAATAGAATGGGGCCCGGAAGTACCCGGTCACGGTAGTTCAACACACCAACGGCCAACCTTGATGGAACTTGTGCCCAAATATGGACGCAGCCTGACGACAAAGTCCCTGAAAGCCTGGAACTCTCGTCTTGGCGGACAGTTCAGACGATGCTCGCTGAGGGACGAGACGAGTGGCGTCAAGGTTGTTGTGTCCGGGATCGGATGATGGAATAGTTCGAAGACACTAAAGTAAATGGAGTGGTTCAAGCCTGTAAGCAGTACAGTCTTGATTTATCTCGTTAAAAGTCAATGGCAGAGTAAAAAGAATTAGGGGTTCCAACAGTCCCCGTCATGTCCGATCGATAAACTCTCTTGTATTCCTTGCTATCCAACATGCAGAAAAACATATAGATGATGCCTATTCCGGTTCATATGGTTAACTGAAAACTCGGGGTATTCCCTGCTAACTAACTGGCTATAAACCAACCAAATCATGGCCATTTCGTGTGTGTCAAAGAGGAACCTTCAAGTTGCGCGACTAGCTGCGACCAGGTCTCTTGGGCCGCCCAAACGCCTTCTTGACCTCCACCCTCGGGTGCAACTCGTCATGCACCGTCTCTTCGGTAATCTCGTCCACCTCTTCCACCTCGAACCTCTTGACCGGCTGCAAGCCAGCTTCGGTTTCTGCAACCGACAGCACAGCCCGCTTCATGAGCGGGTACATCATACGATATTTGATTGCCTTGGTGCCGGGAGATGCAGGGCACGTGTAAAAGAACAGCAGAGGGCTGCTTTCACTGCCGTTGTGGGTGTGGGTGTACCTGTAAAAGGTGAAGCGGGGCTCAGAGGGGGAGATGGACTTGATTAGCTCGCCGATGGAAGAAGGGGCTGAATTGTCAGGAACGAGCTCAACGGATTCGGTGTCGGGGTTGATTTTCTACCAATCGGATCAGCTTCATCTAAACATTATTGGACGGCAAGGTGGAGGGAGCATCCGTACCAGCATCACCAACTGCCTACCGCTCTCGGATCCCAGCTCTTTGAGCGCAGCAAGCGCATCCTCTGCAATGGGGGTCTCGAGGTTCTTGCTGAGATGGATCGCCCGACTTGCGGTACCTTGTCCGGCCTCCTGTTCGGCCCTCTTGACCTCTCCCAAGCTCCTCTCCTCTTCTGTAAGGGGAGCTTCCAATGAGGAGTGAGCATCGTGCTTATCGAACCCCGCGGGACTCAGCTCCTCGGGGGTCGTGGCAAAGAAGGTCTCCCGGAAATGCTCGCTGCCCAGCTCCCGCACCAGCGTCAGGCGCGTGGATGCAAACAGCATCTTCTGGCGCACTTTGGCCGTGTCTGGAACATAGGTAACGGCGACCAGGGCGGGAGCGGACGGGTAACGGCGGAGGATTACGTAGAGGGCATCGTTGGGCTGAATTTGTGGTTTCAGGAGGGAATTGACATTGTCGGCGAAGGAGAGGCCACGCGATGACGGCGTCAGAAGCTTCAGCGGTACCAGCTGCTCGGAGGAAATAGTCGCCAGCAGACCAAAATGGGAGTCGTCGGCGAGAAAGCTGTTGAATTGGGAGACCAGCTCCTGGGAAGCTGTGCCAGTGTGGGAGTGGGTCGGTCAGCTGGACAGGGGTCACTCCCACTTTGTCAAACGCTCTAGAACTCACCAGAAATTCCGGATTGCATTTTTAAGAATACTGTGTGTGTGTGTCGGTACTCGATCGGGATCGGGATGCCAATGTTGGTGAACCTTGGGAGCGATGGCAAGCTTGTTCAGGTTAGGTGGTGTAGGAGATGCCCTGGGTCGATGGCGGGGCAACAACCTCCTTGCTGCAACGGGCAGCAACGTCCCTACCGTAGCATTCAGGGAAGCTCGGTGTGCAGGGGTCCTGTCAAGGAGGAGTGGGGTTGATACGGTAAGGTAGTGGGGTGCCTTGGAAGCAGGTGTACAGTGTAGACGGACCCGTGCGTACCCCTAGCCGACATGCGGGATCGAGTGACCTGTAATTTCCAGAGACCAAAGCCTAGAACCACAAGCATCAGCCCTGCAAAGCAAGCCCCAGCTGCGGTCTTCGTTCCGTTTGCTTTGGGTGGCTGGAATCTATCCATCTCTTGTGATCTCAACACCACAGCCCCAGAATGCTCTGATCGCTGCAACCACACACCACAAAGTACTCAATGCAACACCCACACCATGCCCCACACGGGATGCACGGTACACTAGCTGTTGGAACTGATTGGACGGCAGCGCCTCGATTGGAGCGATTGGAGGGACCAATTCCGGAGTAGATACACCGAGGAAATGCGCTCAGAGGGAGTCGCCTTCCAGACCCTTCCAGACCGCACTCGATGCGCTCTCGAGGGCATCACCGAGCTGAGATCCACGACGATTCCCCTTCCCACCTCCCGATGCAAGCACACCCACCGCTACATGCGGAATCGCGCACTAAAGTCCCCGGTAACCTGGAAACATGTCTCCGGCAGCGTGGAAACACCCTCTCTCCCTCTCGGGAGAGGCTGGCGGATTGCCAGGAATGACGCATTTGGTGAACCCCCCTTCTTACCCTTTTTGATCGACCCGTCCCTTTGCCGCCTCACTGTGCTTGCGACTCGGTGGCGTTGTCTCATCGGTTTTCCCAATCCACCATCATCCCACCCATCCGCCCATCCATCCGTCCATCCGTCCATCCATCTTCTTCAAATCACCCCCCGTGGTGGTGGTGGTTGTGGTGGTGGTGCAGCACCCCGTGTCTGTTCCCAAGATAACTTGCCTGCTATGTCTCCTTTATTTCATCTGCCGCGACTCCGCTGCTAGATGTATGTATGACTGCCAACCAAAAAGTTCCGGCCCATGCTCCGGTCAGCTGGGGTTGGTTGTGAGCCAGGCATAGAATAGGAAAACATGTCGCCTGCCGCTGCTCGTGGACCTTCCCTATCATGCCTCGGATGTGTCTCTAGCCTCACTGGTCGGTGTTGGTCTATCTGTGAGATGTATTCCGCCGTGTATTACTGGCTGGCCTGACTGCTCTCTTCTTCCTCTCTTTCCGCACCTGCACCTGCACCTGCACCCCGGGCCGCTTCAGAAAAAAACATGTCCACGTCCTCTTCCAGACAGCCCTCGTTGCGGCCTCTCCTCCCGTTGGCCCCACAGGATGCAGCCACCTCGTCGTCGTCTAGTGAGCAGGAAGCAGCGCTGGTGCCGGGCTTAGCCCTCCCCCAGCCCGTCGTCACTCCAGCCAACCGACGGCGTGTAGTAGCGAGGGCCGCCTGCATCCCGTGCCGCCGAAGAAAGACAAAGTGTAGCGCGGAGCGGCCGATATGTAATGAGTGCCTGCGGCGACGATCCCCGGACTGCTGCTACAACACGACCGACGAAGACGAGACTCCCGGCCGGGCGCTGAAGCGACGATATGCCGACCTCGAGAGCCAGGCCACCACGTACGAACAGGTCTACGACATCCTGAGGACGCGGCCCCAGCCCGAGGTCGACGAGGTGGTACGACGAATCCGCTCCGGTGAAAACCCAGCCAACATTATCCGACATGTCGAGAACGGCGACCTCTTATTCCAGCTCAATGTCGTCCCCGAAGCTCGCTTTCGATACGAATTCCCCTTCCGGATAGCGCTCCCTGCTCGCCTGCAGACGGAGGACAACCCATACTTTGGTTCTCTCATCTATCAGTGGGAATCTCGACAAGGCTTTGACCACCCGCCAGGGCCACCTCTTCTCCTCTCAGGCTTGGGAAACAGAGCAAAAGGCCCCGACCCAGAGGAAGCGACTTCAGACAGAGTGCCTGGCGTCTACGTGAAACCGTACCATGCAGCAGAGGTATACGATCCCCTCCTGGACTCGGCAGAGCCGTCAAAATGGACGTCGGTCATCAAGGACAACGCGCTGCTCCGGAATCTCCTGCGTGCCTACTTTCTTCACGACTACATCTGGTTCACGGCATTCCAAAAGGACTTTTTCCTCTCCGACATGATTGCCGGTCGTCGTCAGTTCTGCTCTTCCCTTCTTGTCAATGCCGTCCTTGCAATAGCCTGTGTGAGTGCAGAGTCTCCAATGGCCGCCGCGAGAGGAGTAGAGAGTGCTTTGGTACTGA